GTCTCGAAAAGAAAAATAAAAGAAGCAGCTTCTCCTTTATCTCTTCCTCCTCCTAGAAGGGAGGAGTCAGTCGTAGGCTCTTTGGAAGGGAGTGATGGTTTGCCTGAGAATGTGCCCCTGGGGGTTTGAGGCCACTGAGGCCATGGGGTTCTCCACCGGGTCAGGGTAGGAGGAGAGGATGTCAAAGGCCAAGGGTGTCAGATGTCCAGTGCTGAGGGCAGGACAGGTCTGGTGAAAGGCTTGTGGGAGAGCAGCTCCCCAAGAGGAAGTGCGCAGCTCAACATGCTGGGAGGAGGCCACGATGGAAGCCGCAGGGCCAGGATGTGGGTCCCAGGAGAGCAAAGAAAGGCAGGAGAAACATGTTGATTCTTGGAGGGTGCGGTGAGGGGAGCCATGTGAAGAGAAACCTGGGCCTCCGATCTGGAATTCCAAGTGCGTTCCTCCTGCCGTCTGAGTCATTCATGGAGTCTGGAGTCCGGCAAATTCTGGGAGGTCAACAAAAACGTCCAGTCAACGAATGCCCACAGAGAATGTTCTGCTGCTTCTAAATAATGTTGTATACAACATCAACAGCAGAAGAAGCCTGTTGAGAGAAAAATATGGGTGGCAAAAGGATGCGCCAGTTCTGTCGTTCGTTCTTTCTTTCCTGCTTTTGTTTCTTTCCTTTCTTTTTTGTTTGATACAAGGTCTTGCCCTGTCGCCCAGGCTGGAGTACAAGTGGCGTGACCACAGCTCGCTACCGTCCCCACCTCCCAGGCTCAAATGATCCTCCCCCCTCAGCCTCCTGAGTAGCTGGGACCACAGGCATGCGCCACCACACCCAACTAATTTTGTTTATTTTTTGTATGGGGAGCGAGCGGTCTCACTATGTTGCCCATGCTGGAGTGCCGTGGCTCAATCATAGTTCACTGTAGCCTCATACTGCTGGGCTTAAGAGATCATTCCACCTCAGCCTCCCGAGTAGCTGAGACTACAGGTGTGCACCCCCATGCTTGACTTTGTGATTATTATTATTATTATTATTATTTGAGAGAGATTCTCGCTGTGTCACCCAGGCTGGAGTGCAGTGGCGTAATCTTGGCTCAGTACCAACCTCCGCCTCCTGGACTCAAGTAATTCTCCTGCTTCAGCCTCCTGAGTAGCTCGGATTATAGGCATCTGCCACCACTCCTGGCTAATTTTGTATTTTTAGTAGAGACAGGGTTTCACCATGTTGGCCAGGCTGGTCTCAAACTCCTGACCTCATGTGCTCTGCCTGCCTCAGCCTTTCAAAGTGTTGGGATTACAGGTGTGAGCCACTGTACCTGGTCTGTGATTTTTATTAATCATGGTAAAATGCCGGGCGCAGTGGCTCACGCCTGTAATCCCAACGCTTTGGGAGGCTGAGGCAGGTGGAGCACAAGGTCGGGAGTTCAAAACTAGCCTGACCATGATGATGAAACTCCGTTTCTACTTAAAAAAAAAAAAAAAAAGCCAGGCGCAGTGGCTCATGCCTGTAATCCCAGCACTTTGGGAGGCCGAAGCAGGTGGATCACTTAAGGTCGGGAGTTCAAAACTAGCCTGACCATGATGATGAAACTCCGTTTCTACTTAAAAAAAAAAAAAAAAAGCCAGGCGCAGTGGCTCATGCCTGTAATCCCAGCACTTTGGGAGGCCGAAGCAGGTGGATCACTTAAGGTCGGGAGTTCAAAACTAGCCTGACCATGATGATGAAACTCCGTTTCTACTTAAAAAAAAAAAAAAAAAGCCAGGCGCAGTGGCTCATGCCTGTAATCCCAGCACTTTGGGAGGCCGAAGCAGGTGGATCACTTAAGGTCGGGAGTTCAAAACTAGCCTGACCATGATGATGAAACTCCGTTTCTACTTAAAAAAAAAAAAAAAAAGCCAGGCGCAGTGGCTCATGCCTGTAATCCCAGCACTTTGGGAGGCCGAAGCAGGTGGATCACTTAAGGTCGGGAGTTCAAAACTAGCCTGACCATGATGATGAAACTCCGTTTCTACTTAAAAAAAAAAAAAAAAAGCCAGGCGCAGTGGCTCATGCCTGTAATCCCAGCACTTTGGGAGGCCGAAGCAGGTGGATCACTTAAGGTCGGGAGTTCAAAACTAGCCTGACCATGATGATGAAACTCCGTTTCTACTTAAAAAAAAAAAAAAAAAGCCAGGCGCAGTGGCTCATGCCTGTAATCCCAGCACTTTGGGAGGCCGAAGCAGGTGGATCACTTAAGGTCGGGAGTTCAAAACTAGCCTGACCATGATGATGAAACTCCGTTTCTACTTAAAAAAAAAAAAAAAAAGCCAGGCGCAGTGGCTCATGCCTGTAATCCCAGCACTTTGGGAGGCCGAAGCAGGTGGATCACTTAAGGTCGGGAGTTCAAAACTAGCCTGACCATGATGATGAAACTCCGTTTCTACTTAAAAAAAAAAAAAAAAAGCCAGGCGCAGTGGCTCATGCCTGTAATCCCAGCACTTTGGGAGGCCGAAGCAGGTGGATCACTTAAGGTCGGGAGTTCAAAACTAGCCTGACCATGATGATGAAACTCCGTTTCTACTTAAAAAAAAAAAAAAAAAGCCAGGCGCAGTGGCTCATGCCTGTAATCCCAGCACTTTGGGAGGCCGAAGCAGGTGGATCACTTAAGGTCGGGAGTTCAAAACTAGCCTGACCATGATGATGAAACTCCGTTTCTACTTAAAAAAAAAAAAAAAAAGCCAGGCGCAGTGGCTCATGCCTGTAATCCCAGCACTTTGGGAGGCCGAAGCAGGTGGATCACTTAAGGTCGGGAGTTCAAAACTAGCCTGACCATGATGATGAAACTCCGTTTCTACTTAAAAAAAAAAAAAAAAAGCCAGGCGCAGTGGCTCATGCCTGTAATCCCAGCACTTTGGGAGGCCGAAGCAGGTGGATCACTTAAGGTCGGGAGTTCAAAACTAGCCTGACCATGATGATGAAACTCCGTTTCTACTTAAAAAAAAAAAAAAAAAGCCAGGCGCAGTGGCTCATGCCTGTAATCCCAGCACTTTGGGAGGCCGAAGCAGGTGGATCACTTAAGGTCGGGAGTTCAAAACTAGCCTGACCATGATGATGAAACTCCGTTTCTACTTAAAAAAAAAAAAAAAAAGCCAGGCGCAGTGGCTCATGCCTGTAATCCCAGCACTTTGGGAGGCCGAAGCAGGTGGATCACTTAAGGTCGGGAGTTCAAAACTAGCCTGACCATGATGATGAAACTCCGTTTCTACTTAAAAAAAAAAAAAAAAAGCCAGGCGCAGTGGCTCATGCCTGTAATCCCAGCACTTTGGGAGGCCGAAGCAGGTGGATCACTTAAGGTCGGGAGTTCAAAACTAGCCTGACCATGATGATGAAACTCCGTTTCTACTTAAAAAAAAAAAAAAAAAGCCAGGCGCAGTGGCTCATGCCTGTAATCCCAGCACTTTGGGAGGCCGAAGCAGGTGGATCACTTAAGGTCGGGAGTTCAAAACTAGCCTGACCATGATGATGAAACTCCGTTTCTACTTAAAAAAAAAAAAAAAAAGCCAGGCGCAGTGGCTCATGCCTGTAATCCCAGCACTTTGGGAGGCCGAAGCAGGTGGATCACTTAAGGTCGGGAGTTCAAAACTAGCCTGACCATGATGATGAAACTCCGTTTCTACTTAAAAAAAAAAAAAAAAAGCCAGGCGCAGTGGCTCATGCCTGTAATCCCAGCACTTTGGGAGGCCGAAGCAGGTGGATCACTTAAGGTCGGGAGTTCAAAACTAGCCTGACCATGATGATGAAACTCCGTTTCTACTTAAAAAAAAAAAAAAAAAGCCAGGCGCAGTGGCTCATGCCTGTAATCCCAGCACTTTGGGAGGCCGAAGCAGGTGGATCACTTAAGGTCGGGAGTTCAAAACTAGCCTGACCATGATGATGAAACTCCGTTTCTACTTAAAAAAAAAAAAAAAAAGCCAGGCGCAGTGGCTCATGCCTGTAATCCCAGCACTTTGGGAGGCCGAAGCAGGTGGATCACTTAAGGTCGGGAGTTCAAAACTAGCCTGACCATGATGATGAAACTCCGTTTCTACTTAAAAAAAAAAAAAAAAAGCCAGGCGCAGTGGCTCATGCCTGTAATCCCAGCACTTTGGGAGGCCGAAGCAGGTGGATCACTTAAGGTCGGGAGTTCAAAACTAGCCTGACCATGATGATGAAACTCCGTTTCTACTTAAAAAAAAAAAAAAAAAGCCAGGCGCAGTGGCTCATGCCTGTAATCCCAGCACTTTGGGAGGCCGAAGCAGGTGGATCACTTAAGGTCGGGAGTTCAAAACTAGCCTGACCATGATGATGAAACTCCGTTTCTACTTAAAAAAAAAAAAAAAAAGCCAGGCGCAGTGGCTCATGCCTGTAATCCCAGCACTTTGGGAGGCCGAAGCAGGTGGATCACTTAAGGTCGGGAGTTCAAAACTAGCCTGACCATGATGATGAAACTCCGTTTCTACTTAAAAAAAAAAAAAAAAAGCCAGGCGCAGTGGCTCATGCCTGTAATCCCAGCACTTTGGGAGGCCGAAGCAGGTGGATCACTTAAGGTCGGGAGTTCAAAACTAGCCTGACCATGATGATGAAACTCCGTTTCTACTTAAAAAAAAAAAAAAAAAGCCAGGCGCAGTGGCTCATGCCTGTAATCCCAGCACTTTGGGAGGCCGAAGCAGGTGGATCACTTAAGGTCGGGAGTTCAAAACTAGCCTGACCATGATGATGAAACTCCGTTTCTACTTAAAAAAAAAAAAAAAAAGCCAGGCGCAGTGGCTCATGCCTGTAATCCCAGCACTTTGGGAGGCCGAAGCAGGTGGATCACTTAAGGTCGGGAGTTCAAAACTAGCCTGACCATGATGATGAAACTCCGTTTCTACTTAAAAAAAAAAAAAAAAAGCCAGGCGCAGTGGCTCATGCCTGTAATCCCAGCACTTTGGGAGGCCAAGGCGGGGGTGGGGGGGGATCATGAGGTCAGGAGTTCGAGACCAGCCTGACCAACAAGGTAAAACCCCATCTCTACTAAAAATACAAGAATTAGCCAGGTGTGGTGGCACACACCTGTAATCCCAGCTACTCAGGAGGCTGAGGCAGGAGAATAGCTTGAACCCAGTAGGCGGAGGTTGCAGCGAGTCGAGATTGTGCCACTGCACTCCAGCCTGGCAAAGGAGCAAGACTCCATCTCAAAAAAAAAAAAATGTGGTAAAATATATTTTGCGTAAAAGTTACCATTTCAGGCCGGGCATGGTGGCT